ACCCGGTAGGCATTACTGAAACCAGGTGGGATGAGACTTGTGACTGGAGGGGGGGCCACCAGGTGGCGCGTTGGAAGATGGCCGACAATAACATCTCTCTGACCCATACGAGGTACTAAGGGGCTGCTATGGGAAGTATGCAGCCTTCCTAAACTCCCCCAGGATGTGGGGGAGTACTGTCCTGCCAGCGGTGTTCACAATGCACCCCCTGAAACGAGTGATGGGGGTGCTGAACACTTGGCACAGGCCCTCGGTGAAGTCAGATCTTCCTGACGCCGATTCCAATCAGCGCGTGCTGGTTGCTGCAGCTTGGAATTATAATTGGAAACATACGTTTGGAAATGAAGCTGAAAGCACATACATCAAGTAAAGCTCGACGATAAGACTGCTGATTAATGGATCTCTGCGACCAGGAGTGACGGACAGATAAGTAAATCTTCTGATGAATTACCACAAGGAGACTGTATGTTTGGAACGAAGGGGGGGTGGAGGAAAAAACTCTTTTTTTCTCTGCATGATGTGACATTAATAACCCTTCACCCCAGATAGAAACAAGATCGTCACGTTTCTATGAATCACAGGCAGGATTTTAAGAACTATGTGGGACAGAGTATAACAGAAAAGAAGACTGGAGAACGGTGAGAAAAGAGGAAAAAAATTATGACGCAGTTAAAAAATGGCGTCTTGCCATGACAAGGTTGCCGGAGGAAGAAGGACTGGGGGAGGAGAATCAGGATTGTTTGAATGAGAAGGAATGCTGGAATGTAAGTTTGACCTGACAGAACCCCCAGACTCATTTGATTTATTTGGTAAGCCTGAGAAAAATAAAGGACAGATCGGAGATTAATTTTGTTTATGGAAGCGTTGTACAGAGGCTGTCCCGGATCGATATGATTTTTGGAAGAGTACAAAATCCACATAGAATGCCAGCTTTTAACCTGCTTGTGAAAATCATCAGAGATCGCAAAGAAAGGAATTTATGATAACAACAAGAAGAGAAAGGAAGTAATAAAGGACTATCCGGATCAAACTGGACAGAACTGTCTAATGAAAGCAGTAAGATAAGTGATGCTGTTTTGGACTCGAGCTGAGCTTGATGTATGGGTACCCCCAACAAAATTTAAAATTTGGCTGTATAATTTGGAATCAATGTGATATGGACAATGTGATGTGATTGGCCTGTTAATAAAAATTATTTTTTTTAAAAAAAGAGACTTGTGACTGGAATATAGGAATTGAGGGATATAACCTGTTCAAAAGGAATAGACCAAACAGGAAGGGAGGAGTAGCATTGTATATAAAGGATGTGTAGACTTGTGAAGCTCTATACAGTCAGTAAAAACAAGACCTGGAGCTGACTGTGGCTGAGATCATCAGCTTCTTATAGCAAAAGTCCAGCTTAAACTGAAGAAAAACCACTGGGCCAGTAAGACACAATCTAAATCAAATCCCTTATGAATACACAGTGGAAGTGAGGAACAGGTTTAAGGATTTAGATTTGGTGGACAGAGTGCCTGAAGAACTATGGATGGAGGCTCGTAACATTATACAGGAGGCAGCAATGAAAACCATCCCAATGAAAAGGAAATGCAAGAAAGCAAAGTGGCTGTCCAACGAGGCCTTACAAATAGCGGGGGAGAGAAGGCAAGCAAAATGTGAGGGAGATAGTGAAAGATACAGGAAATTGAATGCAGATTTCTAAAAAAATTGCAAGGAGAGACAAGAGGGCCTTTTTAAACGAGAAATGCAAAGAAATAGAGGAAAACAACAGAATGGGAAAAACCAGAGACGCTCATCTCACTTCAGGCCAAGGGAGCTGGCGTTTGTCCACAGACAGCTTTCCGAGTCATGTGACCGGCATGACTAAACTGCTTCTGGCACAACAGGACACTGTCACGGAAGCCAGAGCACACAGAAACGCTGTTTACCTTCCCGCTGCAGTGGTCCCTATTTATCTACTTGCACCGGCATGCTTGCAAACTGCTATGTTGGCAGAAGTTGATACAGAGCAATGGGAGCTCACCCCATCGCACGGATTCGAACCGGCGACCTTCCGATCAGCAAGCCCAAGAGGCTCAGTGGTTTAGTCCACAGCGCCACCCGCTCCCTGCAAAGTATTACCAGCCCTTAGTAGACATGAACATTTTCTTCAATGCACAAGTGACTATGGAAAAGGCTTGTCATGTGGAAGATGGAGTGAGCTTGTTTTCTGCTGCTCCAGAGGGTAGGACCCAAACCAATGGATTCAAATTACAAGAAAGGAGATACTGACTATAAACATTAGGAAGCATTTTCTGATGGCAAGAGCTGTTTGACAGCGGAATGGATTGCCTCAGAAGGTGGTGGACTTGCCTTCATTGGAGTTCTTAAACAGAGTTTGGATGGCCATCTGTCAGGGATTATTTAACTATGATTCCTGCATTCCCTTGGGAGTCCTTTCCAACTACAATTCTCTGAAAATGTTTCCCTCTTAATAGGAAAACTTATTAGGCTGGCAGGTACACCCCATTATGGAATGCAATTCCAAGTGATAAGGAGGCAAACCCCTTCTCTGGTCTTTCTTAAACAGACTTTAAATACTAATTTCTTTGCAATGACTTGGCAGGTTAATTAAGATGCTGGTTTGGGGTTTTTTTTAGATGTACTTGGATATTTGAAGTGTTTTAAATGTTTTATTGTTAAATATTTTACTTGATTGTAAGCTGCTTTCTTTGAGAGGCGGTCTTCTCTGAAAAGTGCTACAGGTGCCTTTTAAATAAATAAATAGGAAAATAAATAATAAGACTGCAAACCCACTGAAATAGCAAAGCAGCATGAAGGATTACCAGAGACAGCAAAACAAAGCCATGAAACAGCGAGCAGAAGATGGTTTATTTTATAACACAGAAAGTTATCCGACTGCAGAAATCAGTGCAATTTTTTAAAACAAAGGAAAGGTGAAAGCTTCCAGATTCCAAGACTGACTAGACAAGTTGTCTCCAGCTGAAAGACATTTCCCTCAGGATTTGCACACAATACAGTTGCACACAATACAATTCCTTTCAGGAATACAAAAAAACCAAAGCCATTTCTGTGGTTGTTCAAAGTAAAACGAATTCTACCCAGTGGCCGGCCCAAGACATTTTGCTGCCTGAGGCAAAAGACAAGATGGTCCTTCCTCCCTTTCCATATACAAAAGCTGACCAGGCTGGCAATCTAATCTTCAATTTAACACTTGTGGTGAGGCACTATCCTCCACCCCACCTGAGGGAAGCAGGCTAACTCTTGAGGGCACAGGGCAGATTGAAGGGCACACAGCACTCTGTCCTTCAACACCTCCCTGTGGTTCCCTGTCTCCCAGCATTTGTTGCCTCACACTGCCTAATGGTAGAGCCGGCCCCATTCGCACATTGCAATCAACCAGGCCTATTCCTGATAAACGTAAGAAGAGTTCTGCTGGATCAGCCCAGAGGCCCTTCTAGGCCAGTATCCTGTTCTGACAATGACTTAACCAGATGCTCTCAATTAGGAGAAGTGGTATCTCCTGAAAGATTAATCTGCTGCAAGGCTCTGGAGGCCACAAAAAAGAACACTAGACAGGGGTTTAACATTTCTGAGGGGATTATGGCTTCTGAAATCTTTCTTCTCACAAAAAAGATATGTAGTAATCCACCTGGCTCCAGACCAGGTGTGGGGAACTTTTGGCCCCTCAGATGTTCCTGAACTACAATTCCCATCATCCCTGGCTATTGGTTGTGCTTTGCTGGGGCTGATGGGAGATGCAGTTCAGCAGCATTCTAGAGCAATGTTTCCCAAACTTGGGTCTCGAGCTGTTTTTGGACTACAACTCCTCCCATCATCCCTAGCTAGCAGGACCAGTGGTCAAGAATGGTGGGAATTGTAGTCCAAACACAGCTGGAGACCCAAGTTTGGGAAACACTGATCTACAAGGCCAAAGGTTCACCACACCTCTAGGCAATACCACTTCAGAGTGCAGGATTTGTTTAAAAATGCACACAAGAAACTAGTATCTCAGAAAGAAAGAATGACTGCTTTCCCAAATCCAGTTTTCTATGTACAGTCATACCTCGGGTTGCGAACGTGATCTGTGCGGGAGGCACATTCGCAACCCACAGCGTTTGCAACCTGAATAACCACGTCTGCGCACGCGCGTGATGCGATGTGGTGTTTCTGTGCATGCGCAAGCGCCGAAACCTGGAAGTAACCTGTTCCGGTACTTACAGGTTTGGCGCGGTCCGCAACCCGCAGTGTTCGTAACCCGAGGTATGACTGCAAAAGGAATCTGGAGGAATAATTAGTCATGTGATCGCCATTCTGCAATCTGAAGTGGCACACCCCAGACACAAATTAGTTGCTTTATCTGCTGTTTGTTACAAGACCCAAGTCCTACATCAGGGTTTCCCATCTTGGGTCTTAATCCATTTATTTTTTTTGGACTACAACTCCCATCACTCCCAGCTAGCAGACTAGTGGTCAGGAATGATGGGAACTGTAGTCCTAGATATTTTATTTAGATTTGACTTCCAAAGGATGCAAGTGAGAGTCACAGCGACTTTCATTGAGTCTTGATTTATAGGAGCAGGGGAGGCTGATCTATTATGCAAAGGGGCACTGCCTCACCACTCTCAGTCTGCCCCCACTGCCTCCCTTCTTTCTTACTACCAGTCCAGGAGGTGACCCTAGATGCCTCCTCCTTAGTCTCTGTTTTGCCCTTCTAGGACTGGGGATAAAAGCTTAATTATTTGGCTTGGCCGGTCATTGGCTGTGGCTCTCTGTCATTTGTTCAGGCAGTCTACTGTTGCTTTCTGCCCCACCATTCCCAATGGGGACCATCCACCACTGACTAGGAGACCGCTCAAATACTAGTTTCCTAACTTAGGAAGGCCCTCTGTATTATGACACTTCTTAAAGTATCGCAGTTTCCCCCTTGCTGCAGATTTTCAACAATGAGCAAGAGCAGGGCTCTCATGAGCCCGGCTTTCACTCTTGGAATACACTGTGGGATAGCTCAGCCGGTACAGCATGAAACTTTTAATCTCAGAGTGTCGTGGGTTCAAGCCCCACTTTGGGCAAAAGATTCCTGCATTGCAGGGTATTGGACTAATTTTTGCAGGTGGAAGGTGTGTTTTTTCCATCTCAGTGACTAGAAAACTTCCCTTCCCTTCCCTTCCAAAGTGTCCTTGTGCATGGAGACGGACATGTCAACATGGATACAAAAAGAAAAGGCATTTTAACAAGGCCATGACAACAACAATATTCTAAACAGCAAGACAAAGAAGTTTTTTTGTTTTAATTAAAAAAGAAGCAGCAGCAAAATAACATGTACAGTAGTTCCAACATGTATGACAAGCAATCTGCTTTGCCTGGGCAAAACCATCATAAGACGTGTCCTACATTTATTGCTAAGCAGCACTTATATTGTTTTTATTCTCACAGTGTATTTATACCATAACAGGAATCTGTTTTTGAATCAATTCTCTCCACCATGGTGAAAGGGGGAAATGGTGGTGGTGGGGCACTGTATTTTAATTACCCTGTTCACAAGGTCATTAAGAGTCAGTAATGATGGGGAGGTGGGCAAAAGAGATATAGCCTTCGGAGAAATGGGAAGCAAAAACCAAACACATGGTAATGGGCCACTCCCAAAAATCAGCTGCTGATGAGGACAACAAATAGGCACAGCAAGACCAAGAGTGTTAATAACCATGGTTTACGAAGTGGTTGCACACACACACACACACACACACACACACACACACACAGTGGCCTATTTGCATGTCATGCTAAACCATGGTTTAGTGTGACATGCATAAACTACAACAAGCCTTGACTTCACACGATCTCCCTCTCCTGAGCAGTCAGAAGCTTTTGCTATCACTTTTAGTTTGGGGCATCTTCTGGACTCTACTATGTGGCTGACACTACCTATTGTTTAGTTTCACTAAGCCAGCTTCATAAACCAGTTTGACATTGGCTCTTTTGAAATGATCGTTATGAGTTATTAAATAGATGTACCGCCCTTCATCCAAAGATCACAGGATGCTTCACAGTATAAAAGTACTAAATGCATAACACAACAACAAATTGAGCAGTATTAGCCAAGGTTTGTTGCTCCAGGCGGCATAACCAACCATGGTTAACCAAAAGCAAAAGCTTCCAAACTCCTCTTCCCAGTCATGAAGGAGGAGACAAGGCAAGAAGGAGAGTGTTGTGTTGCCTTTCTAGTTTAGAACAATGTGTGAACAGACTTCTATATCTACCTTGTCTTCCTCTCAAATGATAAGAAGATTAATGCCATGGACCAGGTGCCGGATATGTGGCAGAACTGTTTTCTGCATGTACCCGAAGCCATAACAGAAGAGGTAACAAGTTTTTTTAATTTTCTGAGGGAGAAAATTTGTTTAAATTTCCCCCCAAAACCCCAACAACCTAGTTGGTTAGCCTACTGACTGGGACCAGCTTAGTATGGGTAGCAGAACTTTTACAGTTTTGCTTAAATGGACTGTGCCTTGTTTACATTAAGGTAAGCAAAGCATCACAGTCAAAACCTCACAACCCCGAACGACCCACATTTCTCTCCAGAGGAGTTTTTGTTAGGCAAACACATCAGGAAATTTGGAGGAACTTCAGAGGGCACAAGCTCTGTTTGTTGATTTCAGCAGCGTGACTGAGGCACCAGAGAATAATACTGGCATGTCGAACTTCCATAACCCAGATGCCAACTTGGCATTAACGTCCATTACAATCCAAAATGGTACACCTTTTATTATAACGCTGTGCAAATTCTACAGACACTGCATAATGGCCTTGTAAGTGGCATAACATGACTCTGTTGTGCTCACGTTGTACAGTGCATCACAGAACCACAATTTGAAGACTCGGAAGCCATTAATCGGACATAGAAACCCACAGGGCAAATGCAGCAGACCCTCAATGATACAAACAAAGGCTGGCAGCAACCACAGATGCTAATACTTCTCAACCTTGTCCCCATTGGAGACACCCCACAATTCACACGCTCCTTCCTTACGAGAAGGTCCTCCAATTAATTGCCCAAACTGACCACATGGAATAGCGTTTTACCTCAACCAGGACTATTTCCCACGAAGCACAAGGCATAGAGATTTCCTTCCTCCTCGCCCCACCCCCAATTCATTCATATATTTGATAAAGCATCCTTGCAAGGTGTGGTCAGTTATGGAGACAGGTCCTGAGATTGATTCCAAGGATGCATCTGTGGTCCACTGTAGACGCAACGTTGGCCTTGTTAACTGCATTTAAAGAGACTGGGTCCAAGACTTGGGAGAATGTACTCGTTTCTCAAGAGTTCCAGCAAATTCCCCACCTCTCTTCACAGCAGTTAAGCAGTTTGTTGTCACTTAACTGGAGGAGAGTCGGAGGAGATACAAGGAGGGGTCATGCATTCTTGCAACTGGTCCCCAGTTTGTTAACTCCAGATATCAGAAAGCCAACATCACAACAGCACTTGCCCACCCTAGCAATGAAACGGAAGATCTATGTGAATACCAATCCACACTATTTTCTATTTTGCAGAGGCAAGATGAAGGAAGCCTGCAAAAGTAATATTGAATAAGAGATCAATGTGAGATGGTCAAGAGCTGTAAGAGAGAATGGGCAGATATATGCATACACACAGACACACACGGGGAAATCAGCAATGTCAAAACAACTCTGCCCCGCCATTTCCCATGAGGATGAAATCACAAGTTTTGATATCATGAGTGGTCCTCAGTCATGGGCAACCACATCACTCCTACCCTGAATGACTGGTTGCTATTAGCAGGGAATGTTTGCTTGACAATTCCTTTCCAATTTCTGGAGGTTCATATCGTCTGAGGTTCTACTGTGTGAAAAGTTCATTTTTGCATCTAACACGCATATTGGGGGAGGAGAGCAGGGAGGAAAAGCACATGTCAACAAAATAAATACTTAGTAAGATGAGAACTTTTTTTAAAAAAAGAGAGGAATGATATGGATGCCTTCAAGGTTAATGACACAAACATTAAATGAAACATACAGGATAAAGGCTTAAATATATTTTAGCTCCTCAGTGGTCAGTATGACCAAATAAATAGAAAAATACACAGATTAGTAGCAGCAAATATCAATCAATTTACTGGCCATTAAGAAAACCACTTATTTCCCCCTTCCCTCTCCCACCACCACCCTTATTCATCCAGACAGAAGATGCTCAGAGCATCAGGTGGGCCTGTGCAAAAGATCTGCTATTCTCAGAACAGTGCCCTTCACAAACCATATATTTCAGAACAGAGATGTGCTGTTCCAAATTGAAAATACAGAGTTCCAAGACAAAAACAAACCAGTCTCTGGCTCATCTCTACCATTCAAGTGGGCTCTCAGGTTTGGTTTCATGCGGTCTCCTCTCTCTTTTCCTGAATGGAATCCACTGTAGTATGGACCTCATGAAATATAAATTCTCTTCCTCCCCACCAGGGATCAATTGTAACAGACCACTCATGCCTCTTGGAAAGCTGAAAACCAGAAGACAAACTGGGGCAAAGAACAAGACGGCACGAAGGCCCTTTCTCCCAAATTCTGAGGCTATGAAAGCCACGGTTGTTCAAAACTGTTGAAATTAAAAAGGGGTTAAAACCAACAGAAGCATCAGCAGAGGACGGATGGATAGGCAAACCAAATAACCTTCCCAGCCCAGCCAGCCATCAACACTCTAAAGTTGCAATCCTCTCCACATTTATCTGACAGTTTAAGCCCCATCAAACCCATTGGGACTTGCTTCTGAACCAACATGCATAGGATCTGGCTGTCTATAAAGGTAAAGGGTAAAGGGACCCCTGACCATTAGGTCCAGTCGTGGCCGACTCTGGGATTGCGGCACTCATCTCGCTTTATTGGCCGAGGGAGCCGGCGTACAGCTTCCGGGTCATGTGGCCAGCATGACTAAGCCGCTTCTGGTGAACCAGAGCAGTGCATGGAAACGTTTACCTTCCCGCTGGTGTGGTACCTATTTATCTACTTGCACTTTGACGTGCTTTCGAACTGCTAGGTTGGCAGGAGCTGGGACCGAGCAACGGGAGCTCACCCCGTCACGGGGATTCGAACCGCTGACCTTCTGATTGGCAAGTCCTAGGCTCTGTGGTTTAACCCACAGTGCCACCCGTATCCCTGTCTATACCCTTGGCCAAATTAGCAATCAGTACATTACATAACACTTCCCCTCTGAAATCAAGAGGATTGCAGAAGTGGCAGCTCTCTCGTTGCGCCATCAACTCTCCTGCTCTGAAGTCGAGTGCCTACCTCACAGTGCTCATACAGGAATGATGGAAACAGGGGACTGAGAAGGGGAAACCCTGCCACCTGCCCGGATCCATAAAACTAGAGGGCGAAAACTCAAAATAAATAAATAAAAGAGGGTGGGCAAAAATGCATTTTTCTTTCCATGAAGGTCAAAAAGCTATACAAAAGAAAAGCATGGGCAGGGCTTTGTGCCACACTAGGTTTTTTTTAAAATTTACATTATTTTAAAAATTGAAGCGGTGGGATTCAGAGCCTGTGCCACTTCACAGCAGGGGGAGGTTTGTTTGTTTGTTTGTTTGTTTGTTTGTTTGTTTGTTTGCTTGTTTACACTTGAAAAGTTCTCTGCATGCACTAAATCAGCACATCAGAGAGAGTGTTGCCCTGAGCCTTACACCTTGTTGTGTAAGTCTACTGCCTGCAAGGAGTCTGGGATTAAAGAGGCAGAGAACATTGAAGAATGCAATTCCCCCACCTGCAGACTGACGTGGTAAAGTCCACAGCTCTAACATTCCCTTTTGTTTTGTGCAGACCAGCACTTGGGCTCTTGAGATGTACTTTTTTGCGGCGTTTGAGAGAGAGAGAATATTTAAAGGGAAGTACCAAAGCAATACCATAAAGAAGGCTGATCACCAAAGAATTGATGCTTTTGAATTATGGTGCTGGAGGAGACTCTTGAGAGTCCCATGGACTGCAAGAAGATCAAACCTATCCATTCTGAAGGAAATCAGCCCTGAGTGCTCACTGGAAGGACAGATCTTGAAGCTGAGGCTCCAATACTTTGGCCACCTCATGAGAAGAGAAGACTCCCTGGAAAAGACCCTGATGTTGGGAAAGATGGAGGGCACAAGGAGAAGGGGACGACAGAGGATGAGATGGTTGGATAGTGTTCTCGAAGCTACCAGCATGAGTTTGACCAAACTGCGGGAGGCAGTGGAAGACAGAAGTGCCTGGCGTGCTCTGGTCCATGGGGTCACGAAGAGTCGGACACGACTAAACGACTAAACAACAACACCAAAGCAATGCATGGGAACTCAAGAAACAAAAGCATGGCAACTCAAATTAATGCATGAAGCTGCCTTATACAGAGTCAGACCATTGGTCATGGATTGTCTACATCTGGGTTTCCCAAACTTGGGTCTCCAGCTGTTTTTAGACTACAACCCCCATCATCTCCAGCTAGCAGGACCAGTGGTCAGAAATGATGAGAATCATAGTCCAAAAACAACTGGAAACCAAAGTTTCCAGTGGCTCTCAAGGGGTTTAGGCACTCTTTTCTCAGTCCTACCTGGGAGATGTCAGGGATCAAACCTGAGACCTTTTGCATGCAAAGCAGACGTTCTGCCACTGGGCCTGCCCACCCAACCGCACTTGTTCGGTTTCTCAGTTAAATGAATGTGCTAAGCAACAAAATTTAGGAGTGGTTTCATCCATCCATGAAGGTCACAGGATGGGTCTGGATACTCCTGTGCTTCATCGCCTGAATAGGCATGCAATCACAGCTGGCAGTATGTCAGAAAAGCGAATGCCAGCTCCCCTAAACAATGAGATTTCTGAAGGAAGAGGATGGTTGCAAGCCTGCCTGAGACAAGAGGCGCTGCCCAGCTATCTGTCGCTATTCTAGCAACCAGGATCAGATGCTTCCAGTTGAGCAATTGGCTATGGCTGGCAATGCGTAAACCTCACAAACGCCATGCTTCCAATCTCTGACGCCATCAGCCTCACACACTGTGAAATTATGGACTTGTTCAGGGCTACCCTCCACCTCTAGAGCTTATTGAAATAGTACCCTCTGTAAAAATTGAGTGAATACGCCGAACCGGCAAATGTAACTATGAAAATCAGGGATCAAGAAGAGGCCATCTATAAGGGAGTCTGGAAACCTTTCGTAGAATATCTGAAGAGTTGTTGCAAACACGTAAAAAGGCAAGTAGGATTTGAATGAAAAACAGCAGTAAATACTATGTTCTAGGGAATATACAGAAAGGATAGGACACAGAATAATCAAAATCTGCAGCAACATGAGAAATTATGGGGAAGCCATGGAGGGGTGGAGGGGAAGTCAAGTGGTAAATGAATATTAATGGGAAAGTATGTATTTTGTATTAAATTTGTAAATGTTTGAAATTTATAAATTAAAAAGAGATAGTACCCTCCGATCCGGAGGAAATCATTTTGATTTTTCCTATTATTATTATTATTATTATTATTATCATTATTATTACAAATGAAATGTGTGAAATAAAACTCATCCACAGCTATGAAAATGAAGGAAAGTAAAAGACACCAGGTGTTCTCAAAGTATGCTGAACCTTTAAAACGGCTTTCAGTGTTAAATGTATTGAAATGACTAGGGCCCTCTTGTCACATGTAAGCTAGGGAGGCCAGCCCAATCCACTGCCAGGGAGGTTGGAACTGTGTGCTCCAAAACACACACACACCCCCACTTCTGCAAGTGGAATGGCTCAAATTCATATTACTTCCATGTCAAAAATCGCCTGAATTTTTAACAATTTATGACTGCTTGTGGCTTTTGTTATATTCTCCTTTCAAAAGGCACAATTTGCATGAATGCATATTGTCTGTCTTTCTCTCCCCACCCCCAATACATTTGTTAGTATTTTTATCCACCTGTGCTGCTCCAGTACGTAGCACTATGTTGTTTATATCATGTGAGTGTCTGAGAGCGTGAGACAAGAAGTCTCAATACTGTTGGAAGTTCTAGTTTCACTTCTGTGTGTGATGCTGTTCTGTACTGCTGCTGAGAGAGCACAGACATGCTGATGGATTCTTTGTATATAGACTGTAAAATAAAGTACAGTGGTACCTCGGGTTAAGTACTTAATTCGTTCCAGAGGTCCGTTCTTAACCTGAAACTGTTCTTAACCTGAAGCACCACTTTAGCTAATGGGGCCTCCTGCTGCTGCCGCGCTGCCGGAGCACAATTTCTGTTCTTATCCTAAAGCAAAGTTCTTAACCTGAAGCACTATTTCTGGGTTAGCGGAGTCTGTAACCTGACGCATATGTAACCTGAAGCGTATGTAACCCGAGGTACCACTGTAGTTTAGAGCTACTGCTTGACTCTTTCTTCTGCTATGAGATGCCAGAAGACGAGTGTGCTCCTCTCAGGAGGGAGAGGTCGCTTATCATCGGTCTCTCTGGACTGGGGAAGATTTACAGCCAGAGAGCGACCATCGGAGAGACGCCCCCGGTGTCTTGGGAAGGTGGTGGCCTTCCCGGGCGTTTTCCCCAACAACATTGTCTTGATAACTCTGCACTGTATTTGATGTTCACGGTTTGTAAACCCAATAAACTGAAACTGGGATATTCACATACTTCATTTTGCATATTTGAATTGGATGCTGTAAAATAATATTAATAATAATAATAATAATAATAATAATAATAATAACGCACCTGGAACGCCAACCCCCTTTTTAAAAACGGCTGGTTCCAACTTTGTAGGAGGGGAGGGCAATGGGTATGAAAGGAAAGGGTGACAGAATGCCATGGGGACAATAGGTTTTTACTAGCTTTGGAGGGGGAGAGACAAACCTCTGGCCCCATATCTACCGTATTTTTTGCTCTGTAAGACGCACCAGACCACAAGACGCACCTAGTTTTTGGAGGAGGAAAACAAGAAAAAAAATATTCTGAATCTCAGAAGCCAGAACAGCAAGAGGGATCGCTGTGCAGTGAAAGCAGCAATCCCTCTTGCTGTTCTGGCTTTTGGTATAGCTGTGCAGCCTGCATTCGCTCCATAAGACGCACACACATTTCCCCTTACTTTTTAGGAGGGAAAAAGTGAGTCTTATAGAGCAAAAAAGACGGTACTTTCTAAGCAAGTTACCCTGCAGAGTTTTAGCTTTCCCTCTCTATGCCCACCGGCAGAATCTTTGCAAACAGACAAAGATGTCTTCTACCAACTGTGTCTCTACAGGCTCATCCAGCCCAGTATTGGCAATTCTAAGCGGCAACATCTCGCCAAGGCCTTGGGGCAGAGGTCTTCCGCAGCCCTGGTACCCAAGAGCCTTTCATGCAACTGAAGGCGCACAGGTTCAAAGCCAGGACCTCCTGTTTGCAAGGGGTGCGCTCTGGCCTGCCGACAGAGCTATGACTCCTGGCGCAGCACTGTGGCTGCTTTTCTCTCATCCAAACTGCCCCTTCTGAAGCTGCAGTGGAATGCAGGGCGAAAACAAAGAAGAAGAAGAAGAAGAGAGAAAAGGGCGAAACTTGCGCCCTGCCTGTTTGTGGCTCCGGCCAAGACTCATGCAAAGGGGAGGATACAGGTAGGGGGAAGAAGGCAAGGTTGAGCCTTAGCAAATGAGCAAACACAACACAGAGAACTTGGCACCCTGCAGCGCATACTCGTGTGCCAAGTGGCAGCAAAATTTGAAAAAACCCTTTTGCTTCACCTATTTCGCCGCTGGCCTTGTAGGTGCTTGAAAACACAGAGAGAGAAAGGAAGAGAGAGCGCTGGAGAGCAGAACTCCTAAGGCACGGAGCAGAAAAAGCAGGGCGAACGGCAAGCAGCAGGCGAGAGAAGTTGCTCCCTCCGTCAGGGCTGGCGGGAGGGGAGGGAGGGAGGGAGGAAGGAAGGAGCCAGCGGGAATCGCCGTCTCATTGTACGTAGCCCAGGTTCTCCATCTCGTTCTTGTAGCGCTGCTCTGACACTTTGCTCTTGTGCTGCTTGCTCTCCAGGTGCTGCCGGAACTCGGCCTCCTCGCTGGCGCCGGCGTTGCACATGGAGCAGTAGAACTGGCCGCTGGGGGTGACGCACATGGCGAGGTCGCGCGGGATCCGCTGGCGGGAGCGAGGGTTGAAATAAGGGCCTGCAGGAAGAGGGGAGGGAGCGGAAGGGAAAGGTCATTCATGTCCTGCCAGAGAGAGGTCTTAGGGCCCAGTTCACCCTGGCCAAAAACCTTAGAAGAAGAAGAAGAATAGTTTGGATTTGATATCCCGCTTTATCACTACCTGAAGGAGTCTCAAAGCGGCTAACAATCTCCTTTCCCTTCCTCCCCCACAACAAACACTCTGTGAGGTGAGTGGGGCTGAGAGACTTCAGAGAAGTGTGACTGGCCCAAGGTCACCCAGCAGCTGCATGTGGAGGAGCGGGGAATCGAACCCGGTTTACCAGATTACAAGTCTACCGCTCTTAACCACTACACCACACTGGCTCTTAGAAAAAGTCCAGGCACTGGATCAGGTCAAAGGCCCATCTGCATGGTGCAGCACCCTGTCCTCACCATACGTTGTTGATGCTGATTTATTAACCTTGTATACCGCCCTTCCTCAGTTGACCTCAAGGCAATTCACAACAGAAAAGTACAATACAAGAAACACAAAATCATAGAGTTGGAAGGGACCCCAAGGGTCACGCAGACCAATTCTTACATTGGGCATGGTCTATTCATTTTGCCGTTTGTCTTACGCATAGTGGGTTTTATGCATGTTTCACATCTGTCTGTGGACAACTAGTAGGCATGGACATAAATCAGGCATGTCCCGTGAGCAAGAAGACACTGTTTCAGCCTCCTTGCACTGCAAGAAGCCTCTGTGCAGGTAGGAAACATCTTTTGTGATACATTATGGCCTTTTGCAGTCTATGCGGCAGCTAGACAGGTGACTGGGAGTGGCCGACGAGACAATATAACACCGGTCCTGAAAGACCTACATTGGCTCCCAATACGTTTCCAAGCACAATTCAAAGTGTTGGTGCTGACCTTTAAAGCCCTAAACGGCCTCGGTCCAGTATACCTGAAGGAGCGTCTCCACCCCCATCGTTCTACCTGGACACTGAGGTCCAGCGCCGAGGGCCTTCTGGTGGTTCCCTCACTGCAAGAAATGAGGTTACAGGGAACCAGGCAGAGGGCCTTCTCAGTAGTGCCGCTCACCCTGTGGAATGCCCTTCCATCAGATGTCAAGGAAATAAACAACTATCTGACTTTTAGAAGACATCTGAAGGCAGCCCTGTTTACGGAGGTTTTCAATGTTTGATCGTGTTTTTAATATTCTGTTGAAAGCTGCCCAGAGTGGCTGGGGAAACCCAGCCAGATGGGCAGGGTATAAACTTCTTCTTCTTCTTCTTCTTCTTCTTCTTCTTCTTCTTATTATTATTATTATCATCTAATAGAATCACAGAACTGTAGAGACAGAAGGAATCTCAACTAAAGCATCCATGACAGACAGCCATCCAACCTGTTCTGACTTTAATTCTGCATTGGGTTGCATCCCATGTTAATCCTACTCAAAGCAGACCCATTGAAAATAAAGGATATGTATAACTTAGGTCCATTCATTTCAGGGGCTCTATTCTTAGGGACATCACAGGGATGGTCCTAAAAGGTATAATAAATAAATACATGCAATTAAACCAAGATCACTCCAGTGAGCCTAAAGCTTTCTAAACGTATTTCAGTTACGTCTTGATCAAGCTAGAGCACCTCTTGACCCACTCAAAACAAGTAAACAAACTGTCTGTCTCCTGGATTGTTTATTAAAAATTCCGCTCCGGAAATGCTGGAGGTGAAAAGGATTCCCACAGCAGATGGCCTTGGAGGGTGGCTAACCAGCTCTGTCTTTCTGGACGACGGCAGAACGAAGAGGATCCAGGAGTCAAATGACCTGGCCTGGCGCCAAGGAAACTGAGCAGAAAATTGCCCCCGCTCAGAGCAGCATCCGAGAAGGGCAGATGGCAAATTAAGTTCTGGAGTGAGAAACCAAGGCTCACTAATAGGCAGACATACCCAAGCAAACTTTGGATGCTGTGAGGGCAAAGACAGGAAGGCAGACAGGAGTCATGGGGAGAGAAAATCAGACAAATAAGTCTTTAATGCTCATTTTCTGCAGCGCCAACTGCCCAGGTTCTTAAGCTTTGGAAACCTCAGGACAAAGCCTTCGCAAAGCCAAAAGGCACAAGAATATTTTTCTTTTAAAGAAATTACAAAAAGAAATACAAGACTCCGGCCTCTGCTACCTTCCCTCCAGAAGAACATTTGTTCTCTTTAGTGTTTCTCATGCATTCCAACCCCAATTTCTCTTTGGCTCTCCACCACCGAGCCAACTCTCCTCCCCTCCCTCTTCCAATCTACCTCACAATGCCTGGGCAGCATTCATCAACCTTGGGATCAGGGATAGTCTTGGACGACACCTCTGCACAGTGCAAGACACTTGTGAAGGAGCAAAATCAGCAGTGTGTAAGACAGGATCCTCCTGTGTGTGCATGCATATGTCTGAAAACCTGCACACCCCATCGTTTGTAAGGATCTGAAAACCCTTCAAATAATAACTTAGCCCACAACCAGCACCCATTGGAAATGAAGCAAGCTGCATTAGCCCCACGTCATGTTGGCTGTCGGTTTACCGCTTGCTTTTATTTTCAGAGGGGTAGCTGAGCGAGATCATGAACCAAGATCATGGCCACTGGGCCCATCACCTCCTGCAAATAGAAGGGGAGGAAAGGGAGGCAGTGAGAGATTTTACTTTCTTGGGCTCCATGATCACTGCAGATGGTGACAGCAGCCATGAAATTAAAAGACGCCTGCTTCTTGGGAGAAAAGCAATGACAAACCTAGACAGCATCTTAAAAAGCAGAGACATCACCTTGCCAACAAAGGTCCGTATAGTTAAAGCTATGGTTTTCCCAGTAGTGATGTATGGAAGTGAGAGCTGGACCATAAAGAAGGCTGATGGCCGAAGAATTGATGCTTTTGGATTATGGTGCTGGAAGAGACTCTTGAGAGTCCCATGGACTGCAAGAAGATCAAACCTATCCATTCTGAAGGAAATCAGCCCTCAGTGCTCACTGGAAGGACAGATCTTGAAGCTGAGGCTCCAATACTTTGGCCACCTCATGAGAAGAGAAGACTCCCTGGAAAAGACCCTGATGTTGGGGAAATTGAGGGCACAAGGAGAAGTGGACGACAGAGGACGAGATGTGTGCTGGTCCCGGGGGGAAGGTTACCGTTGTCATAGTCAAAGTCCAGTCCTGAGTCACTAGCCTGGAAACAGTTCACAAGGAGCGAGGCGAGGTCCGAAGCAGGAAGCCGGGCGGGGACAGGAACACTGGAGGGTCAGAAGCTGGAAGCCGGGCGGGGACAGGAACACTGGAAGGTCAGAAGCAGGAAGCCGGGCAGGGACAGGAACACTGGAAGGTCAGGTCTGGGTCTGGGTAGGAGCAGGTACTCAGCGATGACGTTGCTCCCGCAACCTGGGACCGGGCTGACTGGCCTTTATCTTCTCTGAGGCCAGGGGCGGTCCCGGCCCCCAGGAGACCCGCCTCTCCTGGCCTTAAGGCGAGCACTCCTCCTGGGAGAAACCAGTTCCCTTCGCCTCTCTGCCCTGAGCCGCTGCAGTTCAGGAGAGGCTGAAGGGTTACTGGGCCCAGGGGGAGACTCACCTGTAGGCACTGAGTCCTCAACCACCTCTGGAGCCAGAATGGATTCACCTGGTGCCGGCTCCTGAGGATCCGGCACAGGTGCAGGTGCTTCAGAATCAAGGCCCTGCCCCAGTTCAGCCGGCCCTGGAGGCGGGGACTCCTGCGCAGGCTGGGATTCCTCCGGTTCAGCCTCTGAATCGGATTCCCAGGCCATCACAAGATGGTTGGACAGTGTTCTCGAAGCTGAGTTTGACCAAACTGTGGGAGGCAGTGGAAGACAGGAGTGCCTGGCATGCTCTGGTCCATGGGGTCACGAAGAGTCGGACACGACTAAACGACTAAACAACAAAGCTGAGCGAGTCATCTCTTCGCTGCAGCCAAAACAATATACAACTGAGTCAGGGTGGACTAGGACCTGGGAGACCAGGGTTCAAATCCCCACTTGGCCACAAATTCCTCTGGTTGACCTTCAAATCAGTCACTCTCTCAGCTTAACCTACCTCGCAGGGTTATTGTTAGGATTAAATGGGGAGGAGGAACCAGAAACACCACCTGTAGCTCCTTGGAGGGAAAGATGGACTAGAAATTAAGAAAGTAAACAAATAAACTTGATTGTGGCATAAACTTTAACCGTTCATGAATCTAGGGAACCAGGCAGAGGGCCTTCTCGGCAGCAGCAACCTCCCTGTGGAACACTCTTCCAACCGATGTCAAGGAGATAAAGAACTACACGACTTCTAGAAGACATCTGAAGGCGGGACTTCCAGGTTAGCGCCTCCAGCAATGGCGGAATTCCTCTGATTGGGAGGAATCCGCTCCGTGGAAATCAGGGTCTGGCCGCCACGGCGAAGGTGGAGACCCACTAAAAACCACAGGCGGGAGAAGCTTGTGGACGTGGGATTCGGCTGGCACCTTTTGCGCCTCCCCTACTCGCGGGGAAACCCGGTTTCGGGGATCCGGAGCGACGTGGGGTGAGTGGCGCGGTGCTCGAATCGACTGCTTCTTTCACGGAGTGAAGCCGCATTGCTGTTGCAGGAGAGCGCTGACTTTTCCTGTGGAAAATTTGATCTTAAAACAACTACCCGTGAGTAGAACGGAAAATTGGATTTTTAAACGTCTTAATTTGGCACCGAAACGGGAGGTTTCAAACAGGAAGTCCGCCTTCCCCTTTTGTAAATAGATTGAAGCAAAGAGGCTGCAAGCTAAAGCCTTGGAAAGTCTTTCACAAAGGATTAAACTTCCATCGGTTAAATCATCAAACCCCCCTTGGAAGCAGGAGAAGAGGGGGGAAATTTAAGATCGCGTAAGCCTGCAGGAGAGAGTGAAGAAAGTCAAATTACCACCGCTCTGAACCTGGAAACGGGCTGCTAGTAAGATTGAAATTTTGGATATGCTCATTGACTGTGAATAGATCGTCTGCTGACAGTAAGTTAAAGAAGAGAAATACATTGTTTCCATTGTCTCCTTCTGCGTTTAAAAAGGAGTAAAAGTAACTGAAAATTGAAACTAACTTTATTGTTTGAACTGTGCTTAAAAGGATTGATACAATTAGAAATTGTTTCCCCCTAGAGGAAGCCTTTGAAATTGTTACAAGAGCTGAGCTGGGAATTTCCACCTGCAAGATAAAACTGTGAGAATCTGGGATTGACCTTGGACCGTTAAGAATGTTGACAGAAGAAGCCTTAGTGGTTGCATTATGTAAGATTAATGATTCATTGGAACAGCTTCATAAGAAGACGGATGCGAGGACTATAAAAATTGATAACTTGGAACTAAAAGTGACTAATTTGGCACCAAAAGTAAATATTAATACAGAAATTATTCAGGAATCGATACAGGGATCTATTTTGACATGGCAAATTGAGGAGAAGGCGGGGGAGAAAGTTTTTGCTGTGGAACCTAAAGTGGCACAAGTGGAGAGGGAGAGAGCCCCAGCCTTACAGTTGCAATTTGATGATTATAAGTTGATGCCTTTCAAGACTGAATTTAGAGAAAGTCAGACTTTTAGGATTGGAGCCCCGCTTGGACTGGAGAAAGAAAGTTGGATAGATCCCATCATGCAGGGGTTTATTGACCTCTGGGACCTGGACTTGGGTCAGGAGGAGACTGGAGTTGTGGGGACTGCCAGACTTGGAGGAACTTTGAAACACGACTGGAAATATCTTTTGAATTTCAGTTCTAACTATGGAGATTTGGCTGACTTGTCGAGAAGGAATAAAAACATTGCTAGATGGGAATTTCCCGGAGATCTATTTTTCAGCATCAAAGGAAGGAAAATAAGAACAAGATCAGGAGCAGACAAAGTAAAGTGCATGTATAAATATGAAGAAGACTTGCAGAAGGGACCTGGAAAAGAGTTAAGAGCCTCAGACAGAAGATCACCAGGTTGATGGGCTATATGGAATTGACGGAAATGACTGGCAGAACCCGAGACCAGGGAGAAGAGACGGTGGAAGAATATTGGAAAAAGTTTAAAATCTATATATGGAAATAATGTAAAATTAATGAGTGTTTAAAAAAGGTTGGAAGGGAATTATATGGCTTTAGTAGAAATATTTTAAGGAATTAAGTATAAATAAGTATTATAGTATTAATGGAAAATAAGGTTAAAATATGTTAAGATAATTACATGACAGAAAATAGAGAAAGATGGAAAGGATTTGCTGAAACAATTAATAGAAATGGAATACAAAAAGGGAGGTGAGAGGAGGTCGATGAAACAAGGGACTGAAAGAGAGGATATTGAGATGGTATGATGTGTGTTTTTTGAATTGTTTTTGCTTTTGTTTTGTATAATGTATTAATGTTAATGTTGCGTTCTGTATTGTTTATATATTGTATTGTTTTCTCTTTTGCTTTTTTTCTTCCTTCCTTTCTTTATTCTTTTCTTTTCTTCTTTTTGTAAGGTTTAAAAGCAATAAATATCATTAAAAAAAAAATAGAAGACATCTGAAGGCAGCTCTGTATCGGGAATTTTTAAATGTTTGGTGTTTGATGATGTTTCTGTATATGCTGGAAGCTGCCCAGAGTGGCTGGAGCGACCCAGTCAGATGGGCGGGGTACAATTCTTATTCTTATTATTAGACTGTAGCCCACCAAAGTTTATGTTGTAATGAATGTCAGCCTTTAAAGTGTCATCACAACAACAACAACTTAGCCTGACTCTGTCAGTGTTTGTAAAAAGCAAAAAAAGGAGGAAAAGGTTCTGACCTCCCTTTGTCTCCTCAGCCTGGTCCTCGGACCCTTGTCGGCACAAAAAGAGTCCACGAGAATATCCTTGCAGAGTTTTATTATTAAAAGTCTTTGTGCACAACACAACTGAATAACTATACACACCAGCACTAAACAACCAACCAACCCAAACACCAGCCTCAGCAAACTAACATTTCTCACTCTATATATACAACTTGGAGCAGGCCGCTGAGTCATGCTGACCCAGCTTTATTCGCATTAAAGAAACAGCGGCCATTTTAGCCCTGACAGACTCCTCCCTGAATTGTTTTGGGGATGGATCTGTGGTGCAGCACGGGATAAATTGCTGTGATCTGAGGGCCACAGGGCAGGTGGGGGGGTACCTGCCCAGCCCTATTATATTAGTAAACCTCCCACTTGCTCTGTTCCAGGCTACAGCTTCAGCTATGGATGTAGAACTGGTAATTGGTTGCAATGATTCTGGAATCACAAGGCCTCTCATCCCTAACCCGGCTCTGCTATCGCGTAAAAGGAGTTCTCTAGCTTCAGCTAGAAATAACACACACTGAATAGGGTGCAAATTGTCAGTGTTTGAAAAAGAAAAGGTTCTGACCTCCTTTGACTCCTTCGCCTGGTCCTCAGACCTTAGTTGGCACAAAAGAGTCCTTGAGAAAGAGTATCTTTACAGAGTATTGCTGCTTTTATTCTTAAAAGTCTTCTTATCCCACCACGACCGACAGCTTTATACATATTAAGGCAACCAGCTTTCAGCCTTCTGACCAACCCAACCCACGCCACAAACAGACCATCAATGACCACCCTATATACAAGCATATATGAGGGAACAGGTTACTAAAATCTGACTGTGCAGTCACCTGAACCAGGGCCCCAAAATTGCCAAATTCTTTCTTCAGGGTCATTAGCTAAAATCCATTAGCTTGAGCTGTATAACACAAACCCAGCTGCATAAACAGAGCCTTCTCCTTTATCAACCCATGAAGGCTTAATGGATGGCCTTGTCAGTTCCAAGCGGAGGCAGGATGGCCTTATCTTATGTAGGTGAAAGGTTTCATGAGTCATGCTGACTCAGTTTCTTTTTGTATTAAAGAAACAGCGGCTAATTTTTAGCCACAACAGCAAATATGGGAAGTACCTGTGTTACTCTGGACGGCATAGACGTTTCGTCTGCTCTGCATCATCTTGTATTCGTTCCCTACTTTCCGCATCTTCCTTTTGCCCACCACTTCTGATGACTCCCTAGTGTTGTGAAGACATGAAGAAGAAGGAGGAGGAGGAGGAGGAGCAGGGGTGTGGGAAGACAACAAGGAGATATATTTTACAGGTGTCACCAGACAAGGTTAGCAAAAGCCATTCCAATCACAACCCCTCACTCTCAAAGAAGTTCAGTAATACCTACGAGAATGCGTTGTTTTGAGCCTCAGCCAGGCGCAACCTCTTCGCATGATTCTTCCCTTGGTAGTGAGCCTGGGCCACAGCCGGTGAACTGAACGAAGCGTCACACAATTTGCAGTAATCGTTTTCTGTTGCCAGGATCACCCGCCCTCCTGGTTTTGAGGAAGCGCCCTGGTCAGAAAGGGGGGGAAAGGCATTAAGGCACACCAACGTGGCTCATTCTTCAAAACGGATGTTCTTGTACTTATTCATTCGGTGGTGGGCATTCTCAGGGACTGGCTGCATGAAGAAGAGTGGTGGGAGGCACCAGCCGGGGAACCCCCAGAGGAGGAAGGCTCAGAGTCAGGGGATTGGTGGTGGGACACTTAGGAGAGGAGAAGACTGGAGGAGGGAGGAGGTGCCGGTCACTGGAGGGGCAACAGGGTTAAATGGGCAGAAGGAGTCGGTGACAGGGAGCAGTTCAGACTCCGAGGCTGAAGCAGATGAGGAGGGTCAACAGACTGCTGAAGAATCCAGGGAGTCTCCCTCTCCTGCTGCAACATGCTCCCCTCCCACCAGTCTCCCATAACACACAGAATAATGAGGAGAGCTGAACAGAGGCCAGAGGTGCGCAGACGTAGTTTGAGACTGCTTAGGATACATCTGAGAGAGGAGGAGCCATAAGTACCTTCATTCCTGACAATTGCTCCATAAAGACCTACTGGGAAGTGTTGCTGAGCTATATACTGTTTTGTCAGATAAAGAGTTAACTTCACTGATAATGGAGCCCTGTGTCCATTGTACTGACCGTGTGTCTGACTCCAGGCCTGACAGGCACACGGTACAGGGCCTTTTCAGTGGTGGCTCCACAACTGTGGAAATCGATTCCGTGCAATGTCGGCCAAGCCCCATTCCAAAGTCTATTTAAATAGGCCTTAACAACCTGCCCCTTAGCACAAGCCCCATTCCTCAGTACTTTTCAGTGAACCTCAACGACCTTTTTGCTTTGGCATTTAATGGCCAATTAAGACCCGGGCTACAGAAATGGTACTATTGTCAATTTTAAAATATTACAGTTATGCTAGGTTGCAGTCATTGTACAGTCTATACTGGCTTCTAACAGTGTTTAGAAGGAAATGTAAATTTAAGTGGTTATAATATTGTTTTTTACAGCTTGTGTGTTGGTTGATCGTTGGTGAACAACTCTGGTTGGCAATTTCTTTTGCCCTACACTTTTCTGCATTCACCCATAAGCATAAATGGTGCCCATAGGCATGAATGGCTCCCATTTACTTCTATGTGATGGGAGAAAACAGTTGCAATCAGAGTGATCAACGGCTTTACAGCAGGATCTAATAAAAAAATTTACATAAGAAATTGTCTCCCCCCAGTGGCTGACCTCATCAGCTACTGTAATCTTTACTCCCACCAAAAATGTTTTCCTTTCCTTTGGATCACTGGCTACGGTTAGCTAGGACTGGGGGAATGCAGGCGCTCAGTGAGTGATTCTACATGTTTCTGGAGGCAAGGGGGGGGGCCTTGATAGTGGGATGTCATTTTTTTGCAGCATCCCATATCACACGTCGCTGCCATGTTTGCACGCTACACCAAACCATAGTTTAGCACTACATAGGTGAGTCCGGATGAGTTTCAGGCACCCATGTCTCCGGCTAGAAAATTTACCAGAATTTCACCTTGAAAGAATACTGGCTTTTCATTCCATTAGAGCCAGGGATCATGGTTTAAAACAAGGGGAAAACAGGTGCAAAATCTCTCCCCCTCGCACCATGGTCCTCATGAACTCCTCCATTTAAATTACATTGTCCTGGGAGGGCACCTTCCACGGATGCCAGTGGAATCTTCTCTATGGCCTTGGTCCAGTATACCTGAAGAAGCGTCTCCACCCCCATCGTTCTGCCCGGACACTTAGGTCCAGCTCTGAGGGCTTTCTGGCGGTTCATTCACCGCGAGAAGCCAAGTTACAGGGAACCAGGCAGAGGGCCTTCTCGGTAGTGGCATCCGCCCTGTGGAACGCCCTCCCACCAGATGTCAAAGAGAAAAACAACTACGTGACTTTTAGAAGACATCTGAAGGCAGCCCTGTTTAGGGAAGCTTTTAATGTTTAATAAAAAGGTAAAGGGACCCCTGACCATTAGGTCCAGTTGTGACCGACTCTGGGGTTGTGGCGCTCATCTTGCTTTATTGGCTGAGGGAGCCGGCGTACAGCTTCCGGGTCATGTGGCCAGCATGACTAAGCCGCTTCTGGCAAACCAGAGCAGCACACGGAAACACCGTTACCTTCCCGCTGGAGCGGTACCTATTTATCTACTTGCACTCTGATGTGCTTTCGAACTGCTAAGTTGGCAGAAGCAGGGACCGAGCAACGGGCGCTCACCCCGTCATGGGGATTTGAACCGCCGACCTTCTGATCGGCAAGTCCTAGGCTCTGTGGTTTAACCCACAGCGCCACCCGCATCCCTAATGTTTAATAGGCTATTGTATTTTAATATTCTGTTGAAAGCTGCCCAGAGTGGCTGGGGAAACCCAGTCAGATGGGCGGGGTATAAATAATATATATTATTATTATTATTATTATTATTATTATTATTATTCCAGCACAGCATAGCAGCTGTGGTCCAGATGAAAGAGGTAGCTCCCCACCCCATGCCCGACGGACCTCCAGGATGCAACTTACATAATAAAAATGCAGAGTGTGGAAGTCGCATCCAGGAGGGTGTTCATCAGTGTAAGCCTTTCTGCTTGCCTGTAATCTCCCCTCTCCTCCCATCATGTGCTGTTCTGGGGGTTCCCCCGCTTCTTCAGAGAAGATTTGTGCAGGAGACATGTGGGGGGAAGGAGAAAGGGAAGCCCCCTTTTGGTAGCAGGAGTCCTTGGTGCTGGCTTCTACTAGCTGAACGGCACACCTTTAATATATTATCTAGCTGTCAATATTTATGCATGGGAGTCTGTGGGACACAGCAAGGAGAGCGTTTCCCCCATAATCACCCTGTTCCCAGGGTTTTCTTTGGAAGAGTAATTTGCTAGCATTTGAAGAACCCTGGGATATGAAACAAAATGTGCAGACACCGTTCACATTTTTGCATGTGAAATTAGCCTCTACCCTCCCTTTTCAGAGTTTGATTTTGCTCCCCGCACTGGCAGATTTTGCTCTCTGCCCCCCCCCATTACACCCATGTAATCCCACCCTGCTTTTTTGTAGGAAAACCAAAGCAGCTGTCAGCAGAGCAGAGCAATAAGTACCTTTTTAAAAATACATCATAAGGACAAAAGAAGAGCCCCATCTGGTTCAACATTTTGTTTTCACAGTGGGCAATGTGATACCCCCGGGGGAAACCGCAAGCAGAACCTGAGGGCAACACCATTCTTCCTTCCTATAGCTTCCAGCAAGCGGTATTCAGAGGCATGGCTGCTTTCAACTGTGTGGAATGAGACACATGCATGCACAAAAGCACATGGCAAGTGTACATCCTTGTCTCATAGACACTGGCCAGGGAGTACATCCCCGCCAAACTCAGTGGAACGTACTTCGATGCCTCCCTTTCTATGGAGGAGCAGATTGCAGCTATAACAAAGGTGGCATTTTTTCATCTCCGCCAAGCTAAGCAGTTGGCTCCTTACCTCTCTTGCCCTGACCTAGCCGCTGTGATCCACGTGACTGTCACCTCCAGGCTTAATTATTGTAACTCACTCTACGTGGGGCTGCCCTTGAAACTGACCCAGAAACTCCAGCGGGTGCAGAATGCCGCGGCGAGACACCTTACGGGGTCCTCGCCGCGGGAGCACATTCATCGGGTGCTATACCAGCTGCACTGGCTCCCGGTGGAGTACAGGATCAGGTTGAAGATGCTGGTTTTAACCTTTAAAGCCCTATACGGCCTAGGGCCCTTGTACCTATGGGACCACCTCTCCTGGTATGTCCCAGGACCTTGCGGTCTGCAAATAACAACACCCTGAAGATTCCGGGCTCCAGGGAGATTAGACTGGCCTCAACCAGAGCCAGGGCCTTTTCTGTCGTGGCCCCGGCCTGGTGGAAGGCTCTCTCACAAGAGACCAGGGCCCTGCGAGATTTGACATCCTTCCACAGGGCCTGCAAGATGGAGCTGTTCCGCCAGGCCTTTGGCCAAGGTTCAGTCTGACTCATTCTCTCTTTGTATAAGAACAAGCTCAAAGGAAGTTTCCCAGCCCGCCCACAGGTCCTTATAATATCAGTGGAAACAGTTGGTCCTGGCGAGTATTAACCACTTTCAATTTTAACCTGAGGATTATCATTTGTCCAGTTTTAATTTTAATTTATTTGAATTAATTTTGGGATGCATTTTAATCAATTGATTGCTTGTTTTTATGCATATTGTATTATTTATATGATGTTAGCTACTCTGAGCCCGGCTCCGGCTGGGGAAGGTGGGGTACAAATAAAAATTTATTATTATTACTATTATTCTGTGTCAACATGCTGTGGAATGCACACTGCAAAGCAAAACCTCCATACAACTAACTCACCTGTAGCGGAAGGGAAACCACCGGTTGGGTGGCTGGCTCAAGAGAACTGCTCATCCTGGCAGGAGCTGGACAGCTGTTGGCAGCATAGTAATTCCGAAGTTTCTTACTATGGTTTTTACCCTGGAAAGAGAGCCTGCGTTAACAGCTTTCAATGGCAGCCATATAGCTGTGCGACAAGAAAAGGCGGCTGCAGGTGGGGTTTACTGTGAAGGTCGATGCAATCCTCAACTGTCAATATTAATCAAAAGAGAGAGGAAAGGTTCTTTATCTTCATCTGCACAATGTGACTGTCATCAGTTGTAGGACTCTTTCACTTAATAGGCAATCCTACAGTGGTACCTCGGGTTAAGTACTTAATGCGTTCCGGAGGTCTGTACTTAACCTGAAACTGTTCTTAACCTGAAGCACCACTTTAGCTAATGGGGCCTCCTGCTGCTGCTGCGCCGCCGGAGCACAATTTCTGTTCTCATCCTGAAGCAAAGTTCTTAACCTGAAGCACTATTTCTGGGTTAGCAACCAGAAGCGTATGTAACCTGAAGCATCTGTAACCCGAGGTACCACTGTATTTTGTTTGTTTATTATAGTCCACCTTTCCTCCAAGGAGCTCTAGGTGTTGTGAACTGCCCTGTAGGGCTGGGAAATATATTGCTATATGGTCCAAAACTGGCAATATATCGCGAATCATGATGTGGGTGGGTGGGTGTTATAATGGTATGGGGTTGCTCGTGCGTAAGTTGCCGCCTCTCCAGGCTATGTTGCCTTGTTAAACCTTTCTGTCTGGACAGCCCTTCAATTCGTGGCTGCCTCAGTCGCTAGCAGAATCCGTCAGTGGGCGTTTCTTAAACCTTTTCCAACATAAAAGTTGTTTGACACCCAGTCTCCTCCTACTTTCTCTGCGCAGGAAGGGCGTGGGTAGCGGAGGACCAGTGCTCTCCCCGCTGGTGTCCGGTGAAGAGTCTGGGAGCCCTCTCGCCGATTCCCCCATCTGCCCCTCCTTATTCCTGGTGTTGCACTGAATTGCTTCCCCATCTGCTGAGCTGCCTCTCTCCCTGCTGGGCCCTTCTCCAGCATCATTAGAGAGCCTTACCTCCACCTCTAGCTCCGATGTCAGTTCCCTGACAGGTGTGCTATACAAAAATCACAACACAGGGGAAACCGTGAAGCCAGCCAATGACTCTACATAGCTCCATCCTTATTTCAGACATCGTGATCTATCAATATATTGTGATGTTTAGCTGGTGATATATCACAAAGTTGAAAACCAGGTATTGCCCAGCGCTACTGCCCTGAGATCTATGGATGAAGGGTAATATACATATTTAATAACTAATAAATAATAACATGGTTTTCTTCCTCCATGTTTTATCCTCACAACAGCCCTGCAGGTAGGTTAGCCTGAGAGACAGTGACTGGCCCAAGGTCACCAAGCACGTTTCAACCAACCCTCTAACTACTAAAGGTAAAGGAACCCCTGACCATTAGGTCCAGTTGTGGCCGACTCTGGGGTTGTGGCGCTCATCTCGCTTTATTGGCCGAGGGAGCCGGTGTACAGCTTCCGGGTCATGTGGCCAGCAGGACTAAGTCGCTTCTGGTGAACCAGAGCAGCACACGGAAACGCCGTTTACCTTCCCACCGGAGCGGTACCTATTTATCTACTTGCACTTTGACATGCTTTCGAACTGCTAGGTTGGCAGGAGCAGGGACCGAGCAACGGGAGCTCACCCCGTCATGGGGATTCAAACCGCCGACCGTCTGATCAGCAAGTCCTAGGCTCTGTGGTTTAACCCACAGCGCCACCCGCCTCTAACTACTATACCACACTTAATTTACTAGGGACAGAATACACACACACGTGTGTGTGAGAGAGAGAGAGAGAAAGAGAGAGAGAGAGAGAGAGAGAGAGAGAGAGAGAAACTGGTTGAACAAACAGCCTCCCACTGGTCATGTAAAACGTCAAACACACTGCAATTGTAGTTTTCAGTCACACAAAAACCTCATCTCATTTTGCACATTTTAACATTCAAGATATACCCAACATGTTTCTGTCAAGATGCCTCGCATTGTGCAATAATGCATCTGTACACACAACCTCTTTTAGGATGTTTCCTTTTATGCTGTGCAACTGACTGCGGAGGTCAGCAGTACAGTGGTACCTTTGGTTAAGTACTTAATTCGTTCTGGAGGTCTGTTCTTAACCTGAAACTGAGCTAAGTTAGACAGGAGGGCGGAGCCACCCACCTGGCCATCACCTGACATCACAGTGTCACCAGGTGAACTTTTCCACCCTTCCAAAGTGCTGTGTCTTCACCTCCATCATTCAGCCTGGACACGGAGGTCCAGCTCTGAGGGCCTTCTGGCGGTTCCCTCGCTGCAAGAAGCCAAGTTACAGGGAACCAGGCAGAGGGCCTTCTCGGTAGTGGCGCCCGCCCTGTGAAACGCCCTCCCAGCAGATGTCAAACAGACAAACTAATATAGGTCTTTTAGAAGACATCTGAAGGCAGCCCTGTATAGGGAAATTTTTGATGTTTGACGTTTTATTATGCCTTTATATTTGTTAGAAGCTGCCCATAGTGGCTGGGGCAACCTAGTCTGATGTGTGGGGTACAAATAATAAAATTATTATTATTATTATTATTATTATTATTATTATTAGTGATGTGCAGTGCTGATGTTCACAGCTTCCTCCTCACCTGGTAATGAGCCTGGGCTTGCTGTGCAGAATTCAGCGTGACGTTACAAAGCCTGCAGCACAAAGGCTTACAAAGTTCCTCCAACACAGGGTCCTGCTCCACCCCTGTAGCAAGTTCCTCATCTTGTGCGAGTGGCAAGGACGGCCCCAGTCCGAGAGGTTTCTGTGGGGATAGTCGCAAGTTGGCTGCAGGCCTGGCGCCCACTGACATAGGAAGCGATGGGACCTTCTCAGGAGGAGCAGGAGGAAATCCAGCTTGCTGCAAGAGGATCATTTGTCGAGAGAACTTCTGGCATTGCTTCCTTTGATGACAGGAGACCAACGTCGACTCTGGATCAGAAACACAGAGAAGTTCCACTAAGACAGGAGGATCCAACAGTAGGGTGTAATTTAAGGGGGTGAAATTTAATTTCCTGCCATTTTCTTTTGTGAGGGGTCATAAAGATATGGTTTTGGGCGTGAAGAATTTAAATCTGCTATTATCTTTATGATTGGAGAACATTTAGCTTGGAAAGACTACGTTTGATGAAGAATCACATAAACTGCTTTCGGAAAACCAAAAAATTTCAACTTCAGTTTCTGAAAATGTCAGGTAATGCATAATAATAATAATAATAACTAACTTGGGAATCAATACCTGAAGGAGCGTCTCCACCCCCATCGTTCTGCCCGGACACTGAGGTCCAGCTCCGAGGGCCTTCTGGCGGTTCCCTCACTGAGAGATGTGAGGTTACAGGGAACCTGTCAGAGGGCCTTTTCGGTAGTGGCACCCGCCCTGTGGAACGCCCTCCCATCAGATGTCAAGGAAATAAACAACGATCTGACTTTTATAAGACATCTGAAAGCAGCCCTGTTTGGGGAAGTTTTTAATGTTTATCGTGTTGTTAATATTCTGTTGGGAGCTGCCCAGAGTAGCTGGGGAAACCCAGTCAGATGGGCAGGGTATAAATAATAACAAATCATTATCAATATCATTAAATCATAGAATCATAGAGTTGGAAGGGACCTCGAGGGTCATCTAGTCCAACCCCCTACAATGAAGGAATCTGAGCTAAAGCATCCATGGCAGATGGCCACCCAACCTCTGCTTAAAAACCTCCAAGGAAGGAGAGTCCACAACCTCCCAAGGGAAACCGTTCCACTGTCAAACAGCTCTTATTGTAAGAAAGTTTTTTCTTAATGTTTAGTCGGAATCTCCTTTCTTGCAACTTGAAGCCATTGGTTCGACTCCTACCCTCCAGAGCAGGAGAAAATAAGCATGATCCCTCCTCCATGTGACAGAACTTAAGATATCTGAAGCTGGCTATCCTATCTCCTCTCAGCCTCCTCTTTTCCAGGTTAAACATACCCAGCTCCTTCAAGCGCTCATCTTATTTATCTCATAGACATCTGAAGGGAGGGCGTTCCGTAGAATGGGAGCTGCTACGAAGAAGGCCCTCTACCTGGTTCCCTGCAACTTCACTTCTCACAGCGAGGGAACCACCAGAAGGCCCTTGGAGCTGGACCTCTGTGCCTGGGCTGAACGATGGGGGTGAAGATGTACAGGGCTGAGGCCATATGGGGCTTTAAAGGTCAGCACCAACCTTTGAATTGTTCTGAGAGCCAATGATGCCCTGATCGTCAATGAATTCATCTAATCTTCCTCTAGAGCCCTGCCTTTTGTGGGAGCTGGTTCCAAAGTTTAACTATATGCTGGGTGAAGCTCGTACCCTCCAACATTTCTCCAATGAAAACAGGGATGTCCTATTCAATAATAATAATAATAATATTTATACCCCGGCCATCAGACTGGGTTGCCACAGCTACTTTGGGTGGCTTCCAACATGTATATAAACGTAATAAAACATTAAACATTTAAAAACTTCCCGATACAGGGCTGCCTTCAGATGTCTTCTAAAGGCTGTATAGTTACTTATCTTCTTGGCTCAGGGGTCGCATAACTCCATACCCTCCAACATTTCTCTGCTGAAAATAGGGACGTCCTCAGGGAAAGTGGGACATTCTGAGATCAAATGAGAAACCAGGATGGCTTCTGTTTATCCGGGACTGTCCCTGGAAAACAGAAACACTGGGAGGGTCTGCAAGTTTTGTGAACCTATGTGCCATGCACAGCACAAGCTCTGCATGCAGAAGGTCCCAGGTTCAATCCCAAATGTCTCCAGGTAGGCCTGGCAGGGATGCCCTGTCTGAAACCCTGGAGAGCTGCTGCCAGTCAGTGTTGTCAACCTTGAGCTAGATGGGCCAATGATGTGACTCAATATTAGGCAGCTTTCTATGTAAAAGCTATTTGGCCAGTGAAATGCAACCTTTAGCTTTTAACTAGAAATACAAACTATCCTGCAAAGGCGCATCAATATCTACCTGCTTTTTAATATTTTCCTCGCCTCTATGCTAAAGCAGCCAGAAACAAACTTGAAAACCTAACTATTACCTCGTTCAACTGCCGGAGCAAAGAGGGCACCTCAAATTATCCAGGAGCTCTGACCGGTGACATCATCACTCCTGCTCTGGAAAAAAAAAGTCTTAAGGCTTTGATCCCCTGCATCCCCCCACTACTACACTGCTGATTAAAACCTGCAGTATTAAAAAATGCAAACTAAAACAAAGATATAGATGGGCACAAGGAGAATCCTGTCTTGTAGACCTTCCCCCAACATGCTTCTGTTCGAAGGAATCGAGGAAATGCATGAGGGAACATGGGCAAATGATGGAAGCAGTGGAGATTATCCAGAGATGCAAACGTGACTCATTGCTGTGCTTAAAGCCAGCATTCAAGGGTTGGTTTGGCCCACAAATTCGTTGAACAGGTCCTTTATCCTCAGTTCCCCCTTGTGTAAAATACAAAGGATGCATCACCGGGAGGTCATATAACTAAAATGTTATGTGCATTTATTACCCTTATTAAAACGTGGGATTTGCACTTGAGGTGATAAGTCATTCGCTTGGGGGGGGCTTTTTTTAAAGGCAAATTCCTGGAGGATAAGACTTTGCCTGTTGCTGGCTGTGACAGAGATAGTGCATGCTTCTAACTGCCATCATCATACTCAGCTTGCAAGTGCAGTATCTGGCTATCTGAAGGCATATTAGTGGTGCTATAGATCACACACCCAACACCAAGCACACACAGTATCCGATGCGATGCATTGCAAAGAAAACAAACCCACCCACCCCTTTGCAAAATGCCCCTAAAGAAGTGTGCAATGAAGCTGAATGAAGCCACGCACAGCCCTGTCCACACGCAAGTCAACCCCAGTTTGTCCAATGGGGCACGTAGGGTCGCAGCTGCTCTTAGACGCCGGTTCCCCGGCTATTCTATTCCAGGCACATCGAGACGAGGACATGACGATGGACCTACCGGCTTCGCGAAGGCTGGTGGTGGAAGGAAAAGAGAGCGATTCACAGGAGGCTCCTGCAAGGATTTTCCCGGAGATGGAGCCGGCCAGGCGCGCGCCGCATCCCCGAGCATGGGATCGTGGAGAGCTTTCGTGGCGCCTCTTTTATAACTTAAAAAAAGCCAGGTCTAAAGGGGCTACGAAGAGAACCGGTGGAGGGGCGAGAAAGCCGGTGGAGTGGGGGGGAGGAAGAGCAGCATAACCGGACACAGATGGAAACAGCTGCAGGAAGTGACTGCAGAGCAAAGCGGGGAGGGGAGGAGACTTGGGAAAACTGCCCTGTCACGTCTCTCTCTGGGATCATGAGTCTCTCCATGCGCAGGAGAGCAGCTGAGAGGATGCGCTCTGCTCCTCGGTCGCGTCTGTGCCGCCGGTTGCTCTCCCGTTTGGACCTTGCGAACCACCAGCCGCTACGCAAAGCCCGGGCGGAGCGTGCAAACTTCCCGGCGGCGTCTTAATAGCTGGGCTGCGGGCCGCTCCCGGGGACCTGCTGCCGGCGCTTCTCCCGCTTACTGGGGAGCAAAAGCTAAGGAGGCTTCCGCGGCGGCGGAGCGGTAGATCCCCAAGGGTTGGCCGCGTCGCATCTGCGCGGTCCTAGAGGTATCTCCTGAGAAGGGAGCCCCGCTGACTTCCGAGGCATAGGATGATGACCCAATCCTGTGCATATTTACTCGGGAGCAAACCCGTTGGGAATTTGCTCCCCCAAAATTATGGGCGCGCAGGACTGTGCAGCTGCGCCGGGTAATGCTGTGCGTTTTTACGCAGGAGTTCAGTGGGGCTCGCTCGTTTCTCAGTAAGAGTAGTGGCGTTGAGTTGCTGCTAAGGCGGTAAGCCTCACTGCTTCCCTTTGTGTAAGCCCCATTGAATTCAGTTGGGTAACTGAATAGGCGTGCAGGATTGTGTTTATAATAACTCAAGAACCTCAGATATGCAAATGACACACCCTTGATGGCAGAAAGTGAGGAGGAATTAAAGAACCTTTTAATGAGGGTGAAAGAGGAGAGTGCAAAATATGGCCTGAAGCTCAACATCAAAAATACGAAGATCATGGCCACTGGTCCCATCACCTCCTGGCAAATAGAAGGGGAGGAAATGGAGGCAGCGAGAGATTTTACTTTCTTGGGCTCCATGATCACTGCAGATGGTGACAGCAGTCACGAAATTAAAAGACCCCTGCTTCTTGGGAGGAAAGCAATGACAAACCTAGACAGCGTCTTAAAAAGCAGAGACATCACCTTGCCAACAAAGGTCCGTATAGTTAAAGCTATGGTTTTCCCAGTAGTGATATATGGAAGTGAGAGCTGGACCATAAAGAAGGTTGATGGCCAAAGAATTGATTCTTTTGAATTATGGTGCTGGAGGAGACTCTTGAGAGTCCTATGGACTGCAAGAAGATCAAACCTATCCATTCTTAAGGAAAAAAGCCCTGAGTGCTCACTGGAAGGACAGATCCCGAAGCTGAGGCTCCAATACTTTGGCCACCTCGTGAGAAGAGAAGACTCCCTGGAAAAAACCCTGATGGTGGGAAAGATGGAGGGCACAAGGAGAAGGGGACGACAGAGGATGAGAATGGTTGCATAGTGTTCTCGAAGCTACCAGCATGAGTTTGACCAAACTGCGGGAGGCAGTGGAAGACAGGAGTTCCTTGCATGCTCTGGTCCATGGGGTCACGAAGAGTCGGACACGACTAAACGACTAAACAACAACAACAACATAGGGCTGACTTGAGCTACTTTGCTCCCCCAAGTGAAGATTAATAAATCTTTGTTGTCCCTTCTCCAGTATTCAAACTGAAAGGGTGGGGTCCTTTTGTGGTTATGGCTCCCTTAGTTTTTAGAAGGCAACAGGTAATGATTTGGCTAAATTTGGGGGGAGGTCATTA